TATTTTCTCATTCCAGTAAGGAGTCTGGCCGCCGCATTCTGCACCACTTGAAGTTTCCGCATCAGCTTCAAAGGAAGCCCCACGTAGAGCGTGTTACAGTAGTCTAATCTAGAAATTACGAGCGCAAGTACTAAGGTAGTGAGCGCCCCCATGTCTAGGTAAGGTCGTAGCTGGGCAATCCACCAAAGGTGGAAAAAGGCGGTGCAGACTAATTAAATTGAATTGGATGCACAGGTTAGCTAATGAGACTTCCACTGTATTACAGACATGGTCCTTGGACTGTCTGCTGAAGGTGCAACAGGTGGGAAGAGAAGTATCACAATTCACATCTAACGCTTTCAGAAATATCCGATCATCTTTTCCCACCCTGGCATTGAAATCACCTGCCAAGATGAACTCAGCCAGTGGGAAATTAAATTGAATTGGATGCACAGGTTAGCTAATGAGACTTCCACTGTATTACAGACATGGTCCTTGGACTGTCTGCTGAAGGTGCAACAGGTGGGAAGAGAAGTATCACAATTCACATCTAACGCTTTCAGAAATATCCGATCATCTTTTCCCACCCTGGCATTGAAATCACCTGCCAAGATGAACTCAGCCAGTGGGAACCTCCTCTCAAGATCCTCCATGCATTTGGTTAAGGAGTCACACTGTTGAAACTGCTGTAGATTATTAAGACATGTATATATTGACTAGAATCAATACTTTGTTAGGAGTACGAATCTTAATAGCCAATAGATGACACTGAGAGATACGCAATTCAATATACTCTGAATTTAAGATAGTTTTAACCATGGCAGCTAGGCCAGCACTTGGTCTCCCTTTGTTATTGACCTTAATTGCAGGGTTTGCAATACACCCTATACCCTCCTAGCAAAACTTGGTCTACAGCCCATATGTCCTGTAATAGTATAATATCCTAATTTTTCATGTAATCCACAAATGAGCTATCTTTACATTTACATGAGGTTCTATTTTCAGGAATTAAGGAAAATTCAATTCTCAGCTTGTAGGTTAGTAAGGAGGTCTAGATTTGTGGCTTCTGGAAGTGAATTTACTGGGTCATGAAGTTTTTTTGGTTTTGCAGTCATTGAACATTTTAAGAAATGCAAAAACAATGTTACTAACTTAAATACTGTCTTTTAATTGTTGGAAGCTGTCTTGGGTCCTTTTTAAAGAGAAAGGCAGGTTAAAATATTTTAAATAAATATTTAATCTTGAATGATAAAACAGTCTGAATTTAATATACAGAGGTGCCTCGCTTAACGGGCGCTCCATTTGACTACGAAATTGCAAGACGTGGATGTTTTTGTGATCGCAAAAGTGATCGCAAAATGATGTTCTCTATGGGGGAATTTCACTTTGCGATGATCACTTCCCTGCTTTGGGAACCGATCATCGCAAAGCGATGATTTTCGGCCAGCTGATCAGCGGTTTCAAAATGGCCGCCAAGTAAAGAAAATGGCCGACCACTCTTTTCTGGCACAGATTCCTCACTGCACAGGCAGCGAAAATGACTGCGCTATGGAGGATCTTCGCTGGACGGTGAGTTTCAAGCCCCTAGGAATGCATTAATCAGGTTTTAATGCGTTTCTATGGGATTTTTAAAATCGCATTATGACGTTTTCATTTTACAGCGATTTTGCTGGAACGAATTAACATCATAATGCGAGGCACCACTGTACACATCCCTTTGGGGAGGGCATTTTTTGCATGGAAGCTGAAATACAATTTGGGAAATTTTTACGAGCCTGATTTCCAGAATTAATATGGCAAATGTAATTCTTTATTTGGTCATTTCTCCTCCAAACTTAGAGAACATAGTTTAGTACTATTATAGATGCCAGCCTATGAGTCAGTGCCAGTGAAACACTTCCCATTTCTTGAGTGCCACACAGCAGATTTCATGCCTGCCAAGTTCAGCTCAGTTCTCTGCTGTATCAATCAATACCAGAATCTATAAATAACATGACAGAATTAAAAGGATTAACATTATAATCTTTACTTTTCTGGGGTAAAGGGAAGAAAAGACTCTTAAAATCTAATCTTATAAAAATAAGGTTTGTAATGAGTTACTTTTGAAATGTCATCTACAGAGACCATGCGTCACTCTATAATTCCCAAAGTGAAAGGCACGCAGACATACACACCCTGGGAAACTATATGGTATACTAGGTAGCCCCCAACCCTGGTCCTATGAAAGTATTTGGATTAGAACACCCAGAAACCTTAGTTACAAGCAAGAATTTGTTGCAATTCTCAGTACATCTAGGAGTTACAGCTGAGGTGATCAAAGTCAGGAACCAAGTTCCAACTGCCCACTTCCAAGTAAAGTTCTTCATCCCAACATTAGAAGAAGATTCAATTGAAAGTGGAGTCTTGATTGGAGCCTTTGCTTTCTTCCCCATTATCCCACCTTCCCAAATAGCTTTTGAGGTCACTGCAAGCAATTGCTATTGCACTCACAACCAATTTGACAGGACGGCTCTATACTGATAAAAAGCTTCAGTCTTCCATGGATCATTTTGAAAAATATGATCAAGATATGGGTATTATAGCCCAAGTATCTTTTTATGGTCAATATTAGAACCAACAAGCTTAACTTTACTTTTAAATGGGGATGGGAAAGTGTGTGTGGACTGATGTGTACCTTTTGCAGAGAACACCTAAAGCTAACATTTTAATTAATGTGTTCGCAACATAAACATAACAAGTTAAGCTCTTTCCATTTAAAATGTTAATACCAGTAAGTCAGTTTCCCCATTATGAATGTCTAACACTGACTAATGGATTTTTCAACCTACTGGGAGTAATTTTACCTAGTTTTGAGAGCCTCCATAACGCCTAGAGTCCCCCCCTCCACCCCTTAATTTAAAACGTATTTTTAAATGGCCATTGGAAGGCAAGCTTTTGAATAAAACAGCCACACAATTTTTGTAAGATTGTGTGAGGTGTGTGTCATGGATCCCGAAAACACCATCCCTGTCCTCCCTCCAAGAACAGGAAAAGAGCTGCTTCTGGATTGTGTCATACAAAAAGGACTTTTGCGGGTTAATGGCTTTGAGGAAGCTCATGTAAGTATTACTGGAGCTTAGTCAAACCAGGCAGGATTATCTGCAGTTAAGTATCATAACAAGAGACTTATTTTGATATTCTTAAAAAAAACTTACCTCTGGCTCCCTTTGAAATATAACAACTCGGCCTCCTTTGTCTCCTGTTGCCAACAATTCCCCTGTGTGGTTGAATTCAACCGTTGAAATGATGTCAGCTGCAGGGGGAAAAGTTTTTTTTAAATTGCATTGGTGTGTACTGAACAAGAAATACTAAATATCCTATAAGACAGAAAGTGAGTTGATAGTGGAACAACAGAGGTGGAATACAGAGGAATGTGGTTCCAGGGCCCTTTGAAAACAAGTCTGAACATGTTACCTTTCAGAGTGCCAGAGTAATTTATTTATTTATTTGTTTGTTTGTTCAATTTATACCCCGCCCATTTAGACGTCTACTCTGGGTGGCTTACAATAAAATATCATAAAAACAATTTATACAACAATTTAAACAACAATAATAATATCGTTCAAGTTGGGAAGATACAACTCAAATGAAAAAATTAAGACGGGAAAAATAAAACAGAGGAATAAGGATCAAGTAGTGACAGGAGGGAAGGCCTGCCTAAAGAGCCAGGACTTAAGTTGGCTCTTAAAAACACCCAGCGAGGGAGCCAGGCGAATCTCTGAGGGGAGACTATTCCAGAGGCGGGGGGAGGGCACTGCCGAGAAGCCCCGGTTTCATGTTCTTTCTTTCTGGGCCTCCCTTGCCATTAGGCCCCTCAGCCGTCTTTCCTGGCTATAACGAGTGATTCGAGTAGATCTAGGTGGGAGAAGGCATTCCGCTAGGTATCGAGGTCCTAAACCATTTAGGGCTTTATAAGTCATCATTAACACTTTGAAATCAATGCAGAAATGAATGGGCAGCCAATGCAAGGCAGCCAGTGTGGGAGAGATATGCTGATGTTTTCTCATCCCACTAAGAAGTCTGGCCGCCGCGTTCTGCACCATTTGAAGCTTCCGCATCAGTCTCAAAGGTAGCCCCATGTGGAGCGCATTGCAGTGGTCTAATCTCGAGATTACAAGCCATGGACCAAAGTGGTGAGCACCCCACCATCAAGATAGGGACACAGCTGGGCAATCCGCCACAGATGGTAATTGGCGGAGAGGATCACTGACGCCACCTGGGTTTCCATGGTGAGCGCCGGATCCAGATGGACCCCTAAGCTGCGAACCTCACTCTTCACGGTGAGAATCACCCCCTCCAAAAGAGAGGGAGATTCCCAAACCACCAATCAGGACCTTCATCTTGTCTGGGTTCAGCCTCAGCCCATTCCCTTGCATCCATTGCAGTACAGCCTCCAGACAGCACTGAAGGGACAGAACGGCATCCACTGAAGTAGGTGAAAAGGAGATGTAGAGCTGAGTGTCATCAGCATACCGATGGCACGAGGCCCCACAGCCCCTGATGACCCCACCCAGCAGCCTCATATTGATATTAAACAGCATTGGGGAGATGATCGAGCCCTGCGGAACCCCACAGTTGAGACTCCACAGGGCCAAAACACCCTCCCCAATCTGCATTCTCTAGGGACGGTCTTCCAAGAAGGAACGGAGCCAGGCAAGAGCCAGGCCACTGATTCCCAACTCAGAGAGGATTCCGAGGCCACCGATTCCCAACTCAGGAGGATTCCGTGGCCAAAGGTATCAAAGGCCACTGAGATATCGAGGAGGACCAACAAGGACTTCCCCCCCCCGTCAGCCTCCCTGAACAGGTCATCCAACAGTGCGACCAATGCCATTTCTGTACCATGGTGTGGCCTGAAGCCCGACTGGAACAGATCCAGGGCATTAACAGATACTATTTGCTGGCAACTGAGTGAGATGATGCTGTTGATGTTTTGTATTGATTGTGGCCCTTAGCATAAAGGAAGTCAGAGAAAGTGGGAAACAATAAAGCAGCGACCACATACTGTTATCCTTTTCTCTGATGGAATTCCTTCTGTATGCTAGCAGTTTAACATTTCTTTGCCAAATTGTTTGCACTTATAATTAAACATTACATATTGCATTTCAGCCTGCTGAAAAACTCAGTGGCTGAAATCCTGTTATGGTGCAGTAAGTTGCTATGTTGAAGTCACATCTAAAGTAGCCCATTTCAATTAATGGAATTTACAGAGGAGTTGACTCACCAAATCCTACTGATTTAATGGGTTTATTCTAGCATGATGTATTAGACTAAGCAACAGGATTTCAGCCAATGCGTTACCACCTTAGGAAGCTGCCTCAGTTCTTTGGAAAATCAAGCATGTTTTCTTTTTTTATAGAGACTGGTAGCAGCTCACCTTGGTTTCAGGCAGGATACTGACCTCAGGATGCCCCACCTTGAGACACCGTGAATTGTACCAGGGACATTCTGCATGTAAAGCACATTCTCCACTGCCAGAGACCCCACCTACATTCTACCGCTTGAACCCATTCACTTACAAGCAAGCACCACTGTTTTCAATGGCATTTGATCCAAGGTGAAAGATTACAATCAGATCCTGTCTTTTTAATGTCATCAATGTGATTTTTGGTTGGTTGGTTGTTTTGGTGTGTCTGCCCACCCCTTTTTTTAAAAAAAATGAAGTTTTATCCTGGATTCGAACATTATCAAATGTGGCTGAAAGAAAAGTAGGAAAAGTAGGAAAAAAGCCTGCATAGTCAGGCAGCACTTGAGTGCAGATTCTCTTTGAGGTCATAGCTTATGAGGTCTGATATGATAAGTTCCTGTACTTGGGATTTACTAAAACCTGATTAAGGAGAAATCCATGCGCATTAGCAGCAAGAATGCCTTTTTTCCTGGTATTACATCTCCTGATTCTAATGCTTAACTAATTAGAGAATTAAACTCTGAATCAGCAGAACTGACCAGTCCATTTATACTGTTATACTGTCCAATTGTAAACACAATTCAGCTTCACTGGTGCTTATTTACGCAGCTTAATACCTAGATACCTTAATAGTCTCCTATATGAACTTTCTCATTAAAATGGCACATGGATGAGCCCATCGATATTGGCTGAAATCCAGTAGTAAATCACAAGTAGTACCACTGAATCAACCAGGATTTGATTAATCAACACTTATGTAAGTTCTGTTGATTCAATGGACCTACTCTGGTTGCTACTTCCTACTGGATTTCAGACATTACTTAGACTTTTAGACATTTCTCTCTCTCTTGACCAAGTTCTTCAGCAAATTGCTTCTGTGCAAACTTAGCAGCTACTGGATAAGAACATTTCATAAATTGTTTGAAGAGCAGAAAGGAAAAAAGAGTGAAACTAAAGGCACAGTTCTTGCTACGGAGTGGAATGGGTGCATTCCAGAGGTCTGTAGGCTGCGCACACCCATCCATGGACCTTGGTAGTCTGCACTTGCACCTGCTGTGGCATCCCCAAGTTACAGGGCACATTTGAAATAGAGAAATGATTATAACCCAGTAAATAGGAATATATCATACTATACTATACTATACTATATTATACTGTACTGTACTGTACTGTACTGTACTGTACTTACCATACCATACCATACCATACCATACCATACCATACCATACCATACCATACCATACCATACCATACCATACCATACCATACCATACCATACCATACCATACCATACCATACCATACCATACCATACCATACCATACCATACCATACCATACCATACCATACCATACCATACCATACCATACCATACCATACCATACCATACCATACCATACCATACCATACCATACCATACCATACCATACCATACCATACCATACCATACCATACCATACCATACCATACCATACCATACCATACCATACCATACCATACCATACCATACCATACCATACCATACCATACCATACCATACCATACCATACCATACCATACCATACCATACCATACCATACCATACCATACCATACCATACCATACCATACCATACCATACCATACCATACCATACCATACCATACCATACCATACCATACCATACCATACCATACCATACCATACCATACCATACCATACCATACCATACCATACCATACCATACCATACCATACCATACCATACCATACCATACCATACCATACCATACTATACTCTGAGACCCTGGATCATCCTGACATTACTATATGGCTGTAGCTATAGAAGAGGTAGCAATGTAAGTCTATGCAAACATTATAGGTGAAAAAAAAAAATAGAAGTTTTAAAATATAATAAAAAATAAAATAACAAATAAAAAGACAAAAATGTGGTGGCACCTTAAAAACTAATTGTTATATTTTTGAATGTGAGCTTTCATGGGCAAGTCCACTTTATCAGACATACAAGAAAGGGATGTAGCATGGCAAATATTTATACATAGCATCAAAATATAGATAAAAAATACAGAGATCGTGGTTGGTTGGTTGGTTGGTTGGTAAGAAAATCATTCTGGTGATATGGCAGGTATTTCATTGAAGCTTGTACTGTAAAGGGTATGAGGACATGTATCATAAAATAACAATGGTAGAACAACATGAACATTGGTTAGACTGGCTTTTTACAGTTGCTAATAAACCCCCAACTCTCACTACACACTTTCCTTTGTAATCAGTTGCAATGGTGTGTGAATTACCCCCAGGCAATGGATGAACAAAAAAGCAGGGTAAAGAAACTGTTTTACTTTTAAAGTTTCAGAGATGGATCTGTTAGCGACGAAATACCTGGAAGATGCAGCATAGTACAATATTTGTGCTGTTTATATTTTGTAGTGCCCTAAAAAGCCCTGGCTTATATTAAATCCATTGATGTGTGTGTTTAGCAAGCATATATATTTTATTTCAGCTGTTTCTCTCTGGATTCATGTCCTGTAATTTCCCTTTTCTAGGATGGTCACTTTCAAATTGTGTGTGGAATGTTCTGGTAAATTAAAATGATGTGAAACCAGTTTCTGTGCATTGCCATTCCTGATGTTTGATTTATGTCCATTAATCCATTTGCATAGAGATTGACCCATTTGTCTTGTGTAGAGGGCAGATGGGCATTGTTGGGAAAGGATGGCATAAATAACATTGGTAGAGGAACAGGTAAAATACTTTTGATATTGTCTGTGACGTTGTTACGTCCAGTAATTGTGTTGCCAAAATAAATGTGGGGGCAGAGCTGACATCTGGGTTTGGAGCAAGGTTTT